CTTTGATGTTAATAAGACTACTCAAGCTTTATTTCGATTAGTGTTCTTATGACGTATCTATCATTTTTTTACTTGTAAACTACTATATTCATATCTTTAAAATAAGCTTCTTGTGGGCAGGTTATATTTAGGTCTTGATTTTTTCCCTCAGTCCAAAAGTCTCTGTCTTTTATTTGGCTTTAAACCATTTATATTTAATGTGTTACTGACACTGTTAAACTTAAATCTACCATCTTGCTATTTGTTTTCTATTTTCTATTCTTTTTCTCTCTTCTTTTTAATAATGTGAATTATTTTATGATTTTTACTTTAGTTTTAACTAACATTTTGATGTTTTCTTTAATAGTTGTTTCAAGGTTAACAGTATAAGTCATTAAACTACTTGCTTAAAAGATATAACACTATATATATAGTATAAGAACCTTACAACAGTATAATTCCATTTCTCCTTACTTCTGTTTTGTGCTAATGCTATAATAAGAAAAAAAACTCATGGTTAATTGGTATGCTTTATTCTCTTGAAAAAATGCATATTTTCCTTTGACATCACTTTCTTCCTGAAGGACTTCCTTTAACATTTCTCTTAGTGCAGGACTACCCATGACAAATTCTTTCAGGTATTTTTTTTTTTTTAAATATTTGAAAGAGTTTTATTTTACTTCCATGTTTTGAAGGTAATTTTCTCTGGATAAAGAATTCTGCACTGGCAGTTTTTTTTCCCCTCTCTTGGCATTTTAAAGATGGTCCACTGACAAAATCCATCTACAACTGCAGTACAACTCTGTATCTAGCCTACTTAATCTGCCCACTGATTTTTTTTTTTTAATTTTGTTATGGTTTAGATGAAGAATATCCCCCACCAAGAAACAGAGGGAGGAGGGAGGGAAAAGAGGGGAAAGTGATATGAAAATTAAGATGTGTTATGTACCCGCTTCCTAGGATGAATGTAATCATTATGTACCACAAACATGTGCTGATTAAAAGAAAAAAAAAGAATGTTCTCCAAGAGCCTCATGTGCTCATAGGTGGGGCTTTGCAACTGAATCATGGGGGCAACATAGCCAACTTGTTCAGAGGTAGGATCTGGCAGGAAGAGGCAGGTCCCTGGGAATAGGATGTGGAAGAGTGTATCTCCCTTCCTGGCTTTCTGCTTTTCTCAGTGTTTTTGCCTGCTATGACGTGAACAGAGTTTCTTCCACTGTGCCCTCCTACCGTGCTGCTCTGCTGTGGAGCTGGCCAACCACAGACTACAAACACGAGCCACACTGCTTGTCCCTTCAATTGTATGTATCGGGTATTCAGTCCCCGTGAAGAGAAAGTGATTGAGACAGATTTCAATGACATTTTTCATATATAAAAGCTCTATTCAATTTTTCAAAAAATCTGTTTTATTAAGAATATTTTTTCCTTTCAGTCTGCTATACCTTCTTTGATTTCTTCAATCACTTAAAACATTATGTTATGGTTTCTTTCAGATTACTGAAGATTCTTGGCATTCTAATCTTCCTGTTTGTGGTATCTCCTAATACAACGTGGTGGCTGAATACCTTGTTTTTTTCTGCAGTTTAAAAAATTATGAATTCCTCTTAAGCAGTCCTTTTGTTTGTTTTCTGTGGTATGGGGAATTGAACCCAGGGCCTTGTGCTTCCTAGGTGAAGGCTCTGTCAATAAGTTATAGCCCCTGCTCCACAGTCCTTGACTTTGTTGTAAAGGCTTTTGTGCAATTTGTCTCACTAGGAAAGATTGTGCATTTATTTCTAGCAGGTTACCCTGGGATATAACTGACCAAGAATTAATTTATGTTGCTTTTTTTGAACACAGAGCTTCTAGCACTACATAATTCGTCTAAATTTGTATTAAAAACCTGAAAGTTTTCAGTTGGGGTACTGATTCATTATGACTTTTCCTTTTATCCAGGGTTGGGGTCAAGAATCAATTTCCCAGGGCTGGGGATTTAGCTCAGCGGCACAGTGCCTGCCTGGCAAGCGCAAGGTCGTGAGTTCAGTTCCTGGTACTGGGAGAAAAAAAAAATCAATTTCCCTATAGTCCTCCTGGGCCAATGAGTACAGGCGGAGTTTTGACCTCTCTTTTCTGGGGATATCATTCTTTACAGGTCTTACATTGAAATCTCACTCCTCATTTTCCATCTCACTCAGGCCACAGGCCTTATCTCCAGCCCTCCAGTGCATGCTCTTCCACAAGCATCCAGCTGCTACTGCCTCTGCCTCCCAAGACGGCTGCAGTGGCAGTTCCTATGTATGTCACATGGAGATTTCATTCTCTCTGCTCTGGTACATGGAAAAGTTCCTTTTGTTTCTTTCTCGAGCTTAGCGTTATAGTAGAAAGAACAACACATACATCAAAAAGCCTGCCATTTTATGATCACCTCCAGGTATTTGCGAAGAAAGGGTTTCCACAATAGTCTAGTTACCAAATTTTGTAATCCCCTTGTAGATAAAATAGAAATATATGAAGCATATTAAAAGACCCCAACATTAATGGCATATGATGACTGGTTTCTAATGGTACATGCATCATATGTGTATTTGTGAGACTGATTTTACCAGCATATTTTATGTTGTACACATTTAAGGAAAATACAAAATGAAGAAAGATTATATTTAATAATTACAATACATTCTGACAGGCTAAAGAAAATGAGATGATTAATAATGACTGCAATGTCCAGCATTTACACTAAAAATAAAATATACCTTCAAAAGTATGTGATGCCAGGCATGGTGGTGCACATCCGTAATCCCAGCACTCAGGATGCTGAGGCAGGAGGACCGCTGCAAGTTTGAGGCCAGCCAGGGCAACAAAGTGAGTTCAAGGCCAGCCTGAATTGCACAGTAAAACACTGACTCAAAAAAAAAAAAAAAAAAATAGCATGGGACACAGCTTGAAAACAACTCAAGTGAGAACTGTTGAGGAGTTCACTATTCCAAACACATGAGCCCATGGTAAAAAGTGGTTGCCAGAAAGTTCACCCTCTGTGTTACAAGAACAGTGCCCAGAAGTAGAAAGGACAGGAATGTGATTTTGTGCGTATTTGATTATATGCATGTATTAGCTATCTATTGCTGTGTAACAAGTTACTCAGAGGGGCAAAACTTTAAAAACTTAGCAGGCAAACAAAAGATGTCAGAATTTCTGTGGGTCAAAAATCTTGGTGCAGCTCAGCTGGGTGTCTCTGCATAAGCTCTGTCACAAGATGAATCTGAGGTATGGGGTGGAACTGTGGTCTCATCTGAAAGCTTAGCAGAAGAAAGGCATGAGTTCTCAATGGCTGCTGAACCCTGCCTCAGTTCCCAGCACCGAGGCTTCTCCATCGGGCAGCTCACAACAGGGCGGTTGCCTCCTGCCAGAAAGCAAGCGAGAGCAGAAGAGGGCAAGCAAGGAGGAGGCCGCAGGCCTCTGAAACCTAATCCTGAGTTTTCACTATTGCTTGTCAAGTTATAGGTCCGGTTTACACTCAAGGGGAGGGCTGTGGACATCAGGAAGTGATGCTCACTAGGAATTACATGCCATACTATATTTTTAAGTAGTCATAAAGGTACAATATGATATCCCAAATCTATGACCAAGACAGCTCAAACATTTTGAAGGAAGCAAAGTTCAGGTCATGAAAAGCTGGAGTCCAGATATAAAGTGTTTAGACTGAAAAAGGAAAGGGGAAAAAAGATTAAGCAAGGAGAAATAAGGACAGGAATGAGAACTTTTCACAGCTGTTATAAAATAATTGAAAGCCTGTCACGTGAACAGAGACTGCACTCAGTTTTTGTAGCTTTAACGGGCTGAGCGAAGAACATTCCACTACTTATCATGCAGCAGTTCAGTGAGCTGTTTACCTGCCTGTGTCCTCCACATAACTGTAACTGTTTACAGACAGACACACTCCTGTTTTGTTCACTTTTATAATCCCGAGTTACCGCAACACTGCAGGTACTCAATAAATACTTGATGAGTGACATGTGAAAAAATTTTTAAAACTACCATAGGGAATGAATTTCAGTTCTAAATTTAAAAAAAAAAAATGAATTCTGAGTTTTCCAAAATCAGAAGGACTTGCTGGATTTCTGGAGGTATTAAAGGAGATGCGGGATACTCGCACAGGATGAATGAGGCCGACAGATCTGGATGAAATGACTGCCAGGTCTCCTTTCCTTGGAGACTTCCACTGAGCCACAACCTCAGCCCCTTTTAAATTTTATTTTGAGACAGGTCTCACTAAATTGACAAGACTGGCCTCAAAACTGCAATCCTCCTGTCTTAGCCTCCCCAATAGCTAGGGTTACAGGTGTGTGGCACCTCGTTGGGCTGACTTTTGGGTCTTAAAGGTCTAGTGTTCTGATTCCGACGCATCAGTCTGGACAAAGAAAGGCCTTCTAGGCGCTGCTCCTGATCTACACTCTGAACATGGGCAACACGCAAATGCTGAAGACACAATAAAAACCACAATTCTTCTTCCTCAACAACACACATACTCCTGAGCTCTTCGCCAGATGTGAAATGAGCCCCCTGCAAAGCGGCACTGGGTGCCCAACTCCCTGAGTCTGTTGTGTGAACAACCACCAGGAGTGTGGTGCAAAAAGACATAGGTCATGGCCTGGGCATCACATTCACGTGATCTAACTCTGCCCTACACATGACCAGCTCCAGCTGAAGAACCACAAGCAAGTTACTAAAATTTCTCAGGCCTCGGCAACTTAATTCCCAAACTGGAATAATACTGACTTCGAATGTGGCTCTGCTTGGTTCCCCTGAGTATGTAAAGTGAGTATTCTCTTATAGATGAATACCATCAAGACATTTTTTTGTTTTGTTTTGTATTTTTTGAGATAAGATCTTGCTGTGTAACCCAGGCCGGCCTTGTACTCACGGTGATCCTCCTGCCTCAGCCTCCCAAGTGTTGGTATTACAGGTGTGAGCCACCACACTTGGCCTATCAAAAAATATTTTAAAGTCTGAGTAACGAAAACCCTCCTCTCACTCCCTACCTTGATAGTTTTTCACAGGAGTCATCTTGTTATAGTCTTCAGACAAAATAAACTCCTGCAAAAGAAGAAATATATTAAGCAAAAGGAAATTCTTTAAGCGAATAACTATGTTTTGGTAAAAAACAGACGGAATAAAGCCAGTGTCATTACAGAATTATATTTTACTGATCAACTTAGGATTTTTGTACCTCTCTAAAATGAACCATCACTATGATGGAACTGAAGCATCATTTTTTGTTTTGGTACCAGGAAATGAACTCACAACCTCGCACTTGCCAGGCAGGCGCTGTGCCACTGAGCTATACCCCCGGCTGTGCATCATCATTTCTTACCATATAACTCAACCTGATTTTTGCATATGCATGAGAAGAAAACTGCATCAAGTGCAGAGGCTTGATACTGGCCAATTTTGAAAATAAACTACATTCAAAATGATTTTTTTTCTCAATAGTGCAAGAGCTGAAGATTTGCAAGACTCTGGCCAGTGGGAAAATCGCATTTTTTTTTTTTTTTGAAACTGGAATCCAACTCAGGACCTTGCACTTGCCAGGCAGGTGAGCAATTCTTTACTAGAGGCATAAATTATGTATTTTAAGGCAGTGATGGTGGACTTTTTAGAGCTTTCAGTGATGTGTGCCATAGGTTTGCCACCACTGCTTTAAGGATTCTGCTGCTAACATCAGTAACTTATTTTCCTCACTACAAGCCTCTTGGGGTTGTACCCTGCTCACTCTCTGTGTCCCTGGGGTGCACTGCCAGTGCCTTGGCATGGCAAGTAATGCATAAATATCGGTCAGGAATGTGGAAGGCACCTCCCAATATGACAAGATCAGTCTGGATGTCAAATATACAGAAAAAGGTCAGTTTCCACACAGCACACCGTACATACATTCTGTGGGGATGCACAAACAGTGAGTGTGGGATTTCACCCGAGCATCCACGTAGACAGTGGCTCACAGGTAGAAACCAAACAAGTGTTTAGGCGGCTGCTCAAATCCCTTAGATTCTTTCAAATGTAAAATATCCATATGTTCTTAAAAAGTAAGTCATCAAACAGAAGGAAAGCTGCAAAATGTGTTAAAGTGATGCTTTCACCTGAGCTTAACAACAGAACAATGAATCTTTTCACAACATCTGGAAGCACCCAGAATTTTTCTCTGATGACTTTCAAAAACAGGAGGGTGGGAGGACAGACATGCACACGCCTTTCTTCCTGTCTGGGTGTTTCCCCACTTCACATATGTTGTGAAATTTTTTAGCAAATAATTATTGCATTGTTTTTGTGATACATGTCACAGAGATAAAGTAGGAGGTGATGTGAGAGAATACACATAGCAACCACAGCCTTTGGTTCATCACTTTTCTATCCCAGCCCTGTGAAGAAGCTTATCTTCAAATGGATTTTCTTCACAATGCCTCTCTCAGTAACAACATTATTCAGCTTGTCACTCTTTAAATTCATATCATTATTCCTTCAAGAAGTGGCACCATATCCATTTCTCCTTTCTGAAGATTTAGGCTCACGACTGAACAGAGCAGACTAAGTCTGAAAGAAATAAAGTAGCATGCCCAGGAGAAGCTACTGAGCACGGGAAGGGGAATCTCACACACGCCTGAGCGCAATCCGCCCCCAACCTTTCATCCAGGGAAGAGGACCTGGCTCTGAGCCCACACTTCAGAGGGCCCTAATACATGCACAAAACGCAATTTATTAAAGACAATTATTGTATGGTCAAACGTTTATGGAGTTCGTAAGTGTCACGTAATTTTAAATTATGTAAGTGGTTTTTGAATTTGGGCAAAAGACACCTCAATTCCTTTTCGAAAAAGGCAAGGTATAAAATTACGCAAGTTTACACACAGGATAGAACATATACATACAAATTAAAAAATTAGCAGTTCACCCCATTGATAAACCTACTGTTTTTGTTAATTCATTTTCTCTGTAATTATGAAAATACAACATAGGAAAAACATGGGAGATTTTGCCATTTTTCATTATTTTTTGATTATAGAAAGCATGTGCTATTCTCAGAAATATATGAAGGATAATCCTTTAAAGGTCCCTTGTGATACCATTTCTTGGAGTATTATAGAAAGTATTTTTGTAATAATATCTATAATAAAAAATGTAAAACATTTTAGCAATAAAAAAAGAATCGTGTCATTCCTTGAGTACATACTTTTATTATCCTCATTCTTTCTAGAAAATGAACTATATTATTCTTTTACCAACTGATCTTCATAGTTTTCAGTTTTTCTTATTAAAAATTATATATATATATCTTTATATCTCTCTAAAGTAATTTTATAAAAGTTCTAAAACTAGTCTATCAGATGGTATGACCATTTAAAATGTGATACAAATTGCCAAATTTGAGTGGTAAGAAGATTTTTAGCTACAAACACTCACAAACAATATAATAATGTAAAAGTCTGGCTACACCTTAGATTGCTTCTTTAAGACTAACCAAGGAAGAAATTAAATCAAATATGCACACACTTAAAATTACTTGGGATATAATAATTTCTAACCTTCCTTTTTTATTCTTTCTTCGCATCCAACCGTTTATCCCTCTATCACCTAATTAATTTTAGTAGTTACTACAATACATCAAACAATATGGGATGTATAAAGAAAAGCTAATAATTGTCTCCATCTTTAACTTCACCCTTTTCAGGCAACCAAAGTCAGGTTTTTATCTTTAACCATTACATAAACATACACACATATATAGGGGTTTTGTTGTGTGAAAATAGGATCTCATTTGTAACTTGCTGTATTCACCCTAAAATATATCAGAACTATCTTTCCAGAAATCACATGGTTCTAATTTACTGTTTCTGAAGGCTTCATAATAGTCCATAGAACCGATATGCCATGCTTTATTAAAGTATTTCCCCTTTAAGTGGACAAACCAGTTATACTATTATAACTCTACTATAAGAAAAGCCTCTGCAATTATATCCATATGAACGAATGTAGACGTATAAAAGATCGCCGGTCAGATTACATACAGCCCAAGTTTTTAAACGCTGCCAATCACACTCCAGGAAATACGCAACCAAACTCCCTTTGTACGACAGCATATTTTCTCATATCCCATCAGCATTACATGGTACTCATCTTTTAAGTTTTTGCTAAGCTGATGAACAAAAAAAGGCATTTTATGGTTGTTTAATGTGTTTATGAGCAGGAGCACTTTTTATAGGTTTACTGGCCATTCTCATTTCTTGTTCTACAAAATTCTGTTCAAATCTCACGCTAGTGTAGTTCCCTAAAAAACAGACTTAAGATGCAAAGCTGAAATCTAATGCTTTATTTGGAGGCTTGATTCCAGCAGCGTAAGTGAGGAAGAGCAAGGCAAAGCAAAGCACAGAAAGATGAGCGGTGCATCACCACCACACCGGTGGAGTTTCACGGAGAAGACCAGCTGGTTCTCCAGCACACAGGAGTCTCTGAACAGACAGGCCTGAATCACGAGGGTTAGGAGGAAGGATGGGGAGGGAATGGGCTCTTACTCATTTGAATTTTGATCATAATTCCACAGGAATTTAGCTCCCTCCTCCTCCTGCAAGGTGTGCAACTTAGCCTTATTTGAAGTCACTGGCAAGGGAAGTAATATCTCCTACCTAGCAGTGCTGTGCTCATACAATGCAGAAAGTAGCAGAGAAGCCACACTCTGGACTTTGGTCTGAGGGTAGAACAGGAAACAAGCATATGCGAGCAGTGGATATGGTGTGGACTACATGTTTCCTCTGCCCCTTTTTTGATGAGCCTGCCTTTCCATTGGGTGGCTTGGCAGCAGCATTTATTGTATTTTAAATTACATTTTGTAGAGACACTCAGAAAGAGGGCTTCCAGAATTATTTCAGAAAGTGGCAAGAATGAGGGGATAACTATGTTCAAAGTGAGGGGACATATTTTGAGAAGGATTAGTAGCAATGTGCCTTTTACTGTAATAATTTTTAAAAAATTAAACATTAATCAACTGTTTATGCCAATTTCTGTTAGAAACATTACAGTACGTCCTCAACGACTATTCACCAGATCTGGCACCATGTGACTTCTGGCTCTTCCCCACAGTCAAAGTGAGCATGAAAGTAAACGTTGAATTGATTCAGGATGTTGAGACAGCCATGACAGCACAACTACAGACACTCATGAAAGAGGTCTTCTACAGCCGGTAAGGATGAGGGGATAAGTGTTTGTGAAGCTAGGGGGAGTACTTTGAAAGCGTGGCCATGTGTGTTTTACTACAGTGAGTTTTAAAAATTTCAACATTCACCATATGTCTTGATCACCGCTTGTACCTTGGTTATGGTATGAACTGACAATATTTTCTCTCCATAGAGTCTGCCTTTGAACTTTATTTACTGGATTTTTGTTGCACTGAATTTTGATTTTTTCCAATATTAAAGATTTTAACCAGGGCTTCAGAAATGCTAGGCACTCTCTCTCTTGCTGAGCTAAATTTGTAGCCCCAGTTTTTGATAACTAACTAACTAGTCATGACATTCTAAAAAGAAATTATAATATATTTAAAATTTTTTATTTGTGGAAAAATAGTATTTCAACTGCAGTATGTCTCCCATGAGAAAGATCTTACTAATCTGGATGGAACATTTTTTCCCATTTCCACTTCTAATGAGTTACGATTCATATATACTAAAAATAACTTCTGGCTTGATAAGTTTTGGGTTTAGTAGTATACTATTGTATACTAATACTGCAATATCTAATATTGCCTTTGATGCTGACTGCCAAAAAACCTTGATCAAGTTTAGGTAATCACCTCTGGTTTAGTATCATATGCAGTTTTCATTAAGAGCTCAACTTAATTAAATGTATCCTAGCATCTATTCTGCAAACGTTAAAACATCTTACAGTTTATTATTTTGATAATTTGTCTAAAATTAACCCTTTTTTGAATTTCTGAAGGAATTCCAACTTATAATAGTGTACTTTTTTTCCCCTCTTCCCTCAGTACAGGGGATTGAACCCGAGGGCACTCAACCACTGAGCTACATTCCAGCCTGGTTTAGTTTCTGTTT